ATGACGACGAGTGCTTCCTAGGAGCGGTGAACACCGACGATATGGCACGACGTCAACGGGACGATCCTGAGCTGCGCGCATTAATCGAGCACCTGGAAGGGGGCGGGAGTACCGTGCCACGTGTCTTCTCACGGGTTCGACAAGGTGTACTCTACGGCACCATGACAGAACAGCACACGACAAAACAGCACGCGACAAAACAGCACGCGACAAAACAGCACGGTCAAAACAGCACGCGTTAAAAAAGCACAGCGTCAAAACAGCATGACGACAAAACAGCACGCGTCAAAATAGCACGCGACAAAACAGCACAGCGTCAAAACGGCGCAGCGACAGAAGAGCACGTGCCAAAACAGCGCGGCGTCAAAAGAGCACAGCGTTAGAACAGCACAGCGTCAAAACAGGACATTGACAATAGAGCTTGGGTTCGGCGTTTTCGATTTTAATTATTTTGAAATTCAGCGTACATTTTTCGGTTTTTATTTCAAGCAGAAGTTTTTGGTTTATTGCTGAGTATATTTGTAGACTCATAAACTTTTCAGTTCTTTTCGGTTTATTGACGAAAACCAGTATATTGACGAAAATGCAATATCTAAAGGCGTTTCTTTAAAATGAATAGTGAGTGAACCAGGTACTGAATTTCTTATTTGTTGCTGTCTGTGGCAGCCGACGCGACCTGTTCTGCAAGACGCACTGGGGCCCTATCGTGATCAGACATTATCGTCGTGGGCTCGTATACTATTGGTACACAGGACGAACATGAGCTTTACTACCACTTCGGTCCGAGCGGCAAATACCAAAACCCAAAAAAACTGCAAGCATTGTGCTCTGTGCGCCTTTTCGCCATTTTCACGACTGCAAGAGGTGGTTAATTCGCGCAGTCCAAGAAACGACAATAAATCAATGGTATTTATGCCCTCCTCTAGTAGACGGAAGCTATGGGTGTTAAAAAATGTGCGGCATTTACGGATGCCCTTTAATTTTATTGTTCAGGTCACGATTAAACTCTTTCCTCTCAACAAAGAATTCGACACACAAATCCCTATCAGGTGAAAAACCCACATTTCGTCCAGAAGACCATTGCGTCGGTTCAACTTTTGTTGAAAGTTGAACCGATCTCGGAGACAGGAAACTGCGGAAGGAAGTGGTCATACGGTCAGTAATGAAGCACATTCCCCCACCCACACCTCCAAACGCCCTCGAAAATACTGACCTTTTTCAGTTAAAACCGAATTTTTAAAAAAAAGTGTTCGTCGTACTTTTACTCGTTTTATTGGTTTATACCGAAAACGCTGAACCCTAAATATAGCGATGGAGTTAATGCAGGCATGTTTCAAAGTAGGCACTGTAAAAGAATGGAGGGTCTAGGCCAATTCCTCGAAAGTCATCTCGTCGATGGCCAATTTGTCGAATCCGTTCTCATGGGAGCAAGTTGGAAGTTGGGAGTATACTCGATGCGCGCATGAAGGCTCCCTGGGCAGTACCGAAGCCCCCGCTGTTGCGTATTCTGGCTATTTCTCGAGAAGTTCTGCTAATATTGACGCTCAAGTTTGCTGGTGATGTCGTCTACAATAAATGAATCAATCGCACGACGATGTGCTGTTGTTAGTTGTTAAAAATAAAACAGAGTGTGTGTGCGGCAACGGTGTACTTAGCCCACGCTGTACGGCAACAGCACTGAGGCTATGGCATGTTTCTGCTTCACCGGTTTCCACTCAATCGAAGCCTTCGTCGGAAATAATCTGTGAATTTAACTCAAAACGTACAACTTCTCGACTGGAAGCTCCAGCCGCGTGTTTCCAGGAGATTTTATTCTCGGCGAATGAACCCCGCAGAATCGTTGCCCATTGTACACCTTGAATTCGCTCGACATTAAAGTTACCTTATCTTCCCGGTTCTATCAAGGCATCTGTAATCGGCGCATCTCCTGCTTTTTTGGGAAGACGTTCTAGGCTTAGGTAATAATTACGAAACGACGAGTACTACGGAACCTCATCGGACCGCCGTAAACCAGACGGTTCATAACTTCAACTTATGAATTTCTTCTTCCCAATAAGTTTTCATCTTTCGATGGTCCTAAAAAAAAAAAAAAGACCAGACAACGCGCCCAACATCGACGCGAAGATATCACTTCTAAATACCCAATCTCTTCAGTGATCAGCGTAGTTAAGTAGTAGTGACTACTGCTAACTTCGTTTGTTTTTAGCAATAGCACAGCAGCACCAGTCGGGACACTGACTCAGCAGTGAAATAGGCAATAAATTCCTTTATAACCTAGCGACAATATATGAAAGTGTTCAGGAGGTTCGAAATTATTTGCGCAGAGAGAGGTGATGAGCGCGCTCGGAAGTAGACTTGCGTGCTGTTTTGTCGCTGTGCTGTTTTGCCGCCGCGCTGTTTTGGCACGTGCTCTTCTGTCGCTGTGCCGTTTTGACTTTGTGCTGTTTTGTCGCGTGCTATTTTGACGCCTGCTGTTTTGTCGCCGTGCTGTTTTGACGCTGTGCTGTTTTGACGCGTGTTGTTTTGACCGTGCTGTTTTGTCGCGTGCTGTTTTGTCGTGTGCTGTTCTGTCGCGTTCCCGTACTCTACAAAGAGAACTTCGGTGAAAACAACACACCGTGGTTGCTGGTAATCCCGAGTGACCTTCGAGAGGAGATCTTCCAAGCCTGCCACGACGACCCGACGTCCGGACACCTTGGTTACAGCCGTACACTGGCCCGTATTCGTGAAAAGTATTACTAGCCCAAGCTCCCCAAGACCGTCCACCTATACACACGATCATGCCACGAGTGCCAGCGACGCAAGAAACCTCCGACGAGGCCGGCCGGACTCCTGCAGCCCATTTCTCTTCCAACTGCACCCTTCCATGCAGCAGATCGGAATGGATCTACTTGGTCCTTTTCCGCCTTCGACGTCGGGGAACCGCTGGATCATCGTCGCCACAGATTATCTCACGCGGTACGCCGAAACGAAAGCTCTTCCTTCGGGGACTGCTGTGGAAGTTGCCAAGTTTTTCATTGAGTCCATCGTCCTCCGGCACGGCGCTCCAGAAGTTCTGATTACAGATCGCGGATCATCGTTCATGGCACAGCTGACCCAAGAAATCCTCCGACTCAGTCACACCAGCCATCGTCGTACAACTGCGTACCACCCGCAGATCAACGGGCTGACGGAGCGACTTAACAAGACAATCGCCGATATGATCTCTATGTAAGTCGACGTAGAGCACAAGACGTGGGACGAGATGCTGCCCTACGTCACGTTCGCCTATAATACGGCGGTTCAAGAGACCACTGGATACACACCCTTCCAGCTGGTACATGGTCGGAAAGTAACAACCATGCTGGACGCGATGCTGCCCCATGAGCCAGCTGACAATGAGAGCGACGACGCCCATGTGATTTCTCAACGGGCCGAAGAAGTCCGCCAGCTCGCCCGACTCCTGATTCAAGACCAGCAACGCGTCGACGCGGGCCGCTACAACCTTCGTCGCAGGGACGTCCACTTCCAGCCCGGAGACAGGGTGTGGGTGTGGACGCCCATCCGTCGCCGCGGCCTCAGTGAGAAACTGCTGAAACGGTACTTTGGACCATACAAGGTACTTCGTCGCCTCGGCGAGCTGAATTACGAGGTGATGCCCGACGGAACACGAACATCGTCGCGCCGCCCACCACGATCTGAGGTCGTCCACGTCGTGCGCCTGAAGCCGTACTACGCTCGATAGGACTGTGAACCTTATATGCTCCAAAGGACTCTTTAGTTTATCGTTCGTTTTTATTTTGTTTTGATTTGCATTGCATCGGGGCGATGCACTTTTTAAAGGGGGGCGGGGGGGGGGGGGGGAGAGTAATGCAGCGCCAAGTAGGCAGCGCGGCTGTGACCTAACGGTTATCGCGCTTGCCTCCCACGCTAAGGGCCAGGGAGCAGCGCATCTTTTTGTTTATTCCTGCAGGCTAGTATTCTGGTAAATTCGAGAACCGTCTTGGGGTGATTCGAGATTACAATGTTCTACGCGCCGAACCTTCTACGCCGAATACTCCAGAAGCCCACGCGTGTACAAAAGCGGCTCCGCGTGGCAAGCCGGAGTCAGTTTCGCCCCAGCGTTCGACTCAGCTCTTTCGCCGACTTCGACGCCCGCGACGCTCTGCTGTTATCTTTCTTTCTCCTTTTATTTTTGGGCACAGTTCGCCCCCATTAAACGTTTAGTTTCTTCAGTCATTATCGCCTCATCACTTGTCATTCGTGACAATATTTTTGTGTGTGTGTCTGAGTTTGTGAGTGTTTTTCTTGTGGTGCGCTGTAACGTTAATCAACATGAACTACCAACTCGCCCAGTTAGCAGTCTTATCACCGTCAGTGCCACCAATGCAAGATGGAACGGCGGCGTTAATTTGTGTCTCCTAAAAGGAACGCGTTCCGTACAGCGCCGGCCATCATCATGTCTTCGGCAGTTCAGTTATAACGAGTTCAAGAAATTATCGTAAGCCAAGAAAATGAGACGGTCACCGATGTTTCTATTGGCAGATAAGAGGGTGCTCAAGTCTCGACGGTGATTCTCACTTCGGCAGGCCCACCTGCGCTGGTCTTCTCATTGTTTTGGTTTTGTCAGTGCTATGGAGCATGAACGTACAGGCTTCTCTAAATTGGTTATTTTATAGTAAAAACGTTTGTTGTTCATATGGGGGTTCAGGGATAGGGGAAAGTCGGGGATCCCAATGTATCCTGACTCTCTGAAATTCCGTAAAACTCACGAGATGGCGATTCGCAATATCCTTCTGTGGTAATGCAGTCAAATTTGTCAAAATATACGTGAGCGCTAGCGCGAGCGCACCTTGAGCACCGGTCAAAGCTGTGCGAGACGCCGAGAATCTGAGACGAAAAGGACAAAGGCGCCACAAGCGCGAGCGCGAGCGCGAGATCGCGTGTACCGCGGGCCCAGTATCTCATTCGAAACGAGGGCAGTCACAGAGGTCGGACGCAGGTTTTGGCACGCAGGAAGTTCACGAACCGGTCAGCAGTCCCGAAGCGGAGGCTACGACGCCCTTGGTGTGCCTCGCCGACATCCAGGAGGAGTCCGCGTTCCCGGTCGGCGCCCGACGTCGCCTGCTCGCGAGGTTCCGGCCCGATAGCAACCAGCAGCCAGTCCGTGAGTGACCGAGGTTTTATGCCAAGACCGCCCATGCCTTGGCATGATAGGCAGGCCCGAGTCTAGTTTGTTCGCTTTAGACGGCTTTCTCGGTGTCAATGGAGGATCTTCCGAATTTCCAGTTCGAGAGCACGCAAGGCCTGGTGTTCGGTGTTCGAACACCAGGCCTTGCGCGAGGAGCAGACGACGCTCTTGTTTTTTCTGAATGAAGGGAGACAGTAGGGAGAGAGAAAGGCCTTTGCACCTACCCGTTGATCCTGCCAATCTGAGCTCGGCGCTCTGACATCGCTGCTGCTCCTCTTTCTGCAGTTTATTTCCGTATAGCGGAGCATTCTATTCGTGAAGATAGTTTGCTTGAACCACGAACAAGAAGCTGGCGTCCAATTAATTCGATCTATAGGAAGTGTTCACTGGACACCATATACTCAAATATGGTGTCCAGTGAACACTTCATAGATCGAATTCATTGGACGCCAGCTTCTTCTTCGTGGTTCAAGCAAACTACCTTCACGAATAGAATGCTCCGCTACACATGAGCATGCGCTGTTCACAGCGCATGCTCAGACCGAACTCTCACTAATAGGCTGCTCAGACCGGCAATCTTGATGGTGTGGAATGCACGTTGCGATAGAACTGTGGAAGGTCGCCGTCGGCATGCGCTCGGCAGCCGTAGACTCAGCTATGGCCGGCAGTGAATATTCCCTATATCATGTGGAGCGGCGACAATCATGTGATCTACTCGTGCTTAAAAAGGAAAAAAACAAATTCGACAAATGTAGGACTACTGCGGTAATTCTTCATATGATTACTTTTAAAGAGAGCTGATAAAGTAATGTTCTATGTTGCGCCGAATACCGTAAGTGGGTTTTATTTTTGTTTGCGTGTGAAAAAATTTAATGGATATCAGCCTGCCAACAGTTTCAAAAGTCATCTCGCATGTCTCAAGACCGACTCTCATGGTTCCCATGTATTCTTGCAGAGACACTTCGGCTGTCCCTAGTTTTATAAGCGAGACCCCTGTAACGGCCCAAGCGCGCGACAGAGAGAACGTCCAGGCCGGGTGGACTGAATCCCTTCTCATGGCACCAGCATCAACCAGCGAGGTAGGCGAGGGCGCCGCCATGGCGTCTTCCTCCCGAGTCCGAGGACGCAAGAGGAACAGGGCTGCTGCCTCCAGAAGCCGCTCCAGGTCGTCTTCCGCGAATCCGGCAAAGCGAAGAAAGTCGAGGCGCACCAGGAGCCGCCTGTCATCGCACTCGAGGACCAGAAGTGCCAGCGCCGCGACTAGGAAGTCCAGGGCAAGGAAGGTGACTTCGGGGAAGGGCAAGAGGCGAAGGTCTAGGCGCAGCAAGTCCACAACTGCTCGGTCATCCCCAGCTAAGAACAGGAAAGTCAGGGCGAGCAAGAAACCTGCTGTGAAAAGGAGGTCCAGAAAGCGCAACGTGGCTGAGGAGTCTGGCGTGAAAAAATCCGCTTTGAAGAGAGCGTCCCGCAACAAGTAACTGTTCCGCCTTTGCAGGTTCCTGAAGATTGGAATAAAGGCAAAATTCAACCAACTCAAAGGGGTTTTCCTGGTGTCTATGCAGCTCTTCTAGGGACAGTAATGCTCAAAATTAAAGTATTTATTTTCTACAATACTCAACCGTGCCCTTAATTACACGAAGGGATTAAAAGGGACCATGAAACGGGTACTAAATATTCTAACTTTACTATTGGCGATTTTCACCACTTCAGCCGTGAATTTGGCAATTTTCACCACTTTCACGGCTTCGTCTTTAGACTACCAGGCGTTGTGAATATCTGATTCGCTCGAGATGGCTGGAGAGCGAACCTGCCGCCATAGCTTTATGTTCTAGCCGCTGGGTGCCGTCGATTTCGCAGGAGTGAACGATACTCGGGCTCAGCTTTCTGTGGCATTTTAGAAGTGAAAAGTACGCGTGCCACACTTTTCATTGACGCTCGAGGTGTGCGAGCGCACGGGCGCCTATACAGCTTTGGCTTTATTGCCACAAAATGTTGGCCCTAAAGCGCCGTTCACACACTTGCAACTAAGTAGGGCCGAGAGAGGCAAGACCGGTTTTAAAGCCTCTTGCGACGGCGTATAGGACCTGCTCCGCAGCGGATTACCTGGTCCTACGCCATCGCAAGAGGCTTAAAGACCGGTCTTGTCCCTCTCGGTCCTACACAGTTCCAAGTGTGTGATCGGCGCTTTACTATAACTAGATATCGCGTGGGAGACAAACGATATCTCGGCAAGGAGCAAGAAACTTGATTTCCACGGAAATTTCGAACCCAAGAGTAAGTAGACTATCACCTTTCTTTCCAGAATTTTTTTTTTTTTTTACTTTATCGTTATTCGCTTAAGTCTAAATGGTTCCAGACGTGTGACCCAATGCTGCTCATGCATTGGACGTTACGCGAGCTCTTCTTCAGCTCTTCTCGACTTGCGCTCGGTTACCCCTCGGCAAATATTCGATTAGAGTTCAGAATTCCCATTATACTAATTGCACATCCGAAGGAATAGTGTAGTCAGATACAAGTTAATGCGTGAGAAGCTCCGTCTCCAGCGCGAGCTTTCCGCGAGTACGAGTACATCTTCAATATTCTAAAGCGGAAGCGCACACAGTCTAAAAGCTGACGGCCAGTCTAATTTCCCCGTTGTGCACTCGGAGAGACAATAGAATCTACGAGGAGACCTAGTGAGAATCCCGAAGGGCCCTTTGACGTATACACTCTTAGACAAAAAAAAGTTACTAGTCCTTCCTAACTAAAAGTTAGTAACTACTTGTCTACATGCGGTGTAAATCCCGGGAAGGGGGGGGGGGGGGGGGAGGTCGAGGGAGTCCGCCCCCCCCCCCCTCTGTGTTTGACGAGGGGGGACACCATGCGCAAGTGTCCTCCCCCCCCCCATGAAAATTACAACGGCGACCTCTCCCCGCCCCCCTCCCCCCCCCCCCCCCCCCTTGTCAGTATCGAAAGGTCGGAGAAGACCAACACAGGCAAAAGCAAGGAGGGACTCGAGCCTATCCTCCTCATCGAAGAATGGCTTCATCCAGTCGTCCACAGAACTTTCTCACAATAAGAATTACAGAGAAGATTAAGGCACTGTCACAAGTTCAGGCGTTTCTTCTTCTTTTTTTTTTCTTCTTGTTTTTTCTTCTTTATTTTAATGATTTTCTTTTTGGACCACTTTAAGTGTCGGTAAGGTTTCCTTTCTTGGTCCCCAACGGATTCGCTCGTTTGCGGGATTGGTTTTGTTGGCTGCGGTGGGCGACGTGTGTTATGTTTCATCTTTGAGCACAGTTTTGTGGCGTTGACCTCGCAGACAGAGGGGTGGGTGTGCTCACTCGCGAATGTAGCCGACATTTCACGCGAGGGCCAGGCCGGGATATAGTATCGCCGAGCTATCCTCGTTTTTTATCTTTTGTTCCAAAATCGGAGATGATTCCATTGGCTAGCGCGCTTTTTGGAGGCGGCTGCTTTGCTCAGTCTGCCGTTTTTAGTACCGTCGGACGAACAGTTTGAACACCAAGATGATCCCTTCCCTGGCCGACGACTCCAGGCTTCTGGCAGCGTTGGGACTCTGACTCTACCGGTAAGTTACGACTCGTTTCTTTGGCCGTCCGGCTTCAGCCTCTGGCACTGTAGTGCGAAGTGGGGAACTTCTGAACATTTTAGTGCAGTGCTAATGTTTGTCACTGCTAAGTTTTCAACCCGAGCCTGCCGTCCTGGACTACTGGTCTGAACTGATTGTCCCTGGTACACCTTTCCAAGATTGACGCCCATATGAACACAGCAAGTAGCCGATGGAGTTTTTGAACATTGACCCGACAGCAATGTAACACTTGCATCACAAACCATATTTTAGACACAAGAAATAAATTGCACACTGTGGCCTTGGCAAACATTGAGAGACTCGACCCTTTCTATTCTTCACTTTTATCTCGAACCTTCTGCGCTTGTGTCCGGCAGTTTTGCTCGCTGTCTTTATTCGCGGAGAGAAGGTCGCTAGGGGCGCTTCTGTTTTCCTCACTCTGGGTAGTGCGCGTGCTACCCACGCGGTTGTTTCAATTTCCACAGTGCATAGAAGCTTGGCATTGCACGTGCTTGCGCCAGCAGAGGAAGTTGAAGTATCCTCACTCTGGGTTCTGAAAAAATTCCACCAGGTGGCGATACCCGAACTTCTCGCCTAGAGTGCCTTCATACACACGCGCGCTTTTGCTTGAGTGGTGACATCTCGGCCATTTTTCCGCCCAATCGTTCTTTCTATGCATTTTGAAGTGCGCGCAATCCGGTGTCACTCAGCACGAGCGCGTAGCTTTGGCTAATGCATAGACGCCATTTTACCGCCCAAGTCACGCACCAAGTGCGCGAGAGCGTCACGCGCTGGCACATTCAGGGCAACAATGGATGTCTTCACCCTGAGACAGACAGACATGTAGGCACCCTATTCTCGCCCAGAGCCGTTTATACTGAGAGTTTGGCCCTTTTAAGGAGATTTTGACAGCCTGGCAACCACAGCAATGTGGTCTGACAACTGGGCGATGACTACTTCCGTCCGCCATTTTTTTGGCTCTGACTCATAGAAACTCTATTCGATTTCTCAGGAATAAACAAGTCAATGAAGTAACGGCATTTTGGGTTATCGCGAAATCCGCTGGTTCTAGCGGGCAACAAGCTCCGCCCATTTGTCAATCTCGGTATAAACGGCACTGTTCTCGACGCAAATAACAGTCGAGCGGCGCCCCCAGGTACTTGACTGGGGTTGTTACCCAGCTCATATTCGGGACAGAAGAGCAAGAGGGGACCCAAGACGGCTGCTGACGCCCAAGTGAAGTCAATTACTCGGCAGACTTTTATATATCCGCTCCCAGCGCTCGCCCTGTGTTTCCCCTAGTTCTTGTGTCTCGTGTGTGACGCTGGGATTGCCGAAATGCAGGTCCACCAGCTCCTGCATTCACCAAACATTTTAACGGAATGCAGTAACTTCATCATTGGGGACTTTAAAAAAAAAAAAAAAACCGTTAGCATGTTCCGCGTACCGCACTGCCGGAGCCTTTGAAGCATGTTTTTAAGCGCGCGCACCGTGGTCACGGTATCATCCGGGCGCTCGCTTAAAAGCATGCTTCAAAGGGTCCGGTAGTGTGGTACGTTAACACAGTAACGGTTTGCTAAAAGCCCCTATTGAGAAGCCACATTCTGCATGTAGCCAATATCTCGTTCAGCGTGTGTCAGAAGCGTGAAATAGAAGTTAGCAGTTTGTTCGTGCACGGAAGACCTGTGGAGCTTGATTAATGTCAGTTATCAGAACCACGCAGATTGTGGTGAATTGTGATTAGACATTTTAACGAGGTGCAAGAAAGAAGAAGAAGACGGGATTTTGGAAAGAAAAGAAGCACAAGACAAGAGGTAGAAAAAGCCTAGAAGAGGTGACTGGAACAACGAGGACGACAGCTGACTGGGGGTTGTCTTCCTGGGAGCCGTCGACGCAAACAGAACCTACTGGGTGTAACTGCGAGGGACAACCGGGCCGCATCGTGAAGACGATGTTCCGTTGTCCCGGACGACTCACAGCGGCGGCTGCACCGACCATGGAAGACATCACCACTTCGTTGCCAGAACGCCACATCACCACATCGTTGCTACAACGTCACCACCGTCGTTGTCAGGTGAAGTGAAATGTTTCACTCTGACCTCCACAAACCTTTTTGACTTGAGACTCGCATTTATTATGCAGTGGCTCATCAACTAGTTGTTTTATGACTACCCTAAGGGAATGGTGTATCCCGTAACGTATCTCATGATTTTCTTTAGATTTGTATCGCTATTGTTTTTCAACGGAACTACTAAAGCTCTCACAAAAACAGTACTTGCCTCGTCAATAATTTAATGTATTGAAAAAGAGCTTGACCTCAAAATATCGAAACTCCTCACACAGATGTCCTCGTGAAAGACTGAGAGCGCAAGATTTCTGCAAAGTAATGTATATTCAAAAATGCGTAGTAAAAATGCATATAAAAAAAAATGTGCATGTCAGGAGGGAGCGTGACGCTGCGGTCATGCTCCGCGCGACGCGCGCGCAAGCCGCGAACGCAAGAGCCTGCTCCTGGTGCGAGCGACGAGCTTCCTGTCGAGCCAACGAAAGTGGCTTTGACGTAAGGTCCCACCGGCGCAGCGTCGAAGCTTGGGCTGGGCTGGGCAAGGGTCAAACACATCAAAATAGGACCAGGACGCACACCCTCGCAGCTCCCTACCCTCCGCCCCGTGCGAACAGCAGTCACGCGCTCTGCTGTTCGCATTTTATTCGAACCCGATAGTACTATACCATGAACCCAGACAGCACAGACACGCTGGAAAGATGTAGAAAGAACGTCGATGATGTCAGGAACCACATGTCGAAATCAGGTCCCTTCGGCGTAATATGGAAAGGCTAATGTCTAGAAAAAAGGGTGGATTTTACGTCGACATAACGTCCCACATTACGACCTTAAAACGTCGAGTGCATGTCTGAATTGGACGGGAAGTCAAGTGATAATGTTTAGGGATGCCGCGAACTTTTTTCGAATCGAAGTTTCGATGATCGAATCAAGCGGTTCGAAAGGTTCGAAAAATTTCGATTTTTCGAATTTCCTACATCGTAAAATTCGACGGAGGTCGAATTTTCGAACTTGTTAAGCTAAGAACTTCGACGCTTTTCGAACCGTCGAACTTATTACGCTAAAAAATTCGATCTTTTTCGAACTTTCGAACTTATTGCCCTGCAAGGTTCGATGCTTGTGGAACTTTCGAACTTGACTGACCAAATAATTCGGTGAATTTCGAACTTTCGAACTTATTTATCAAGAGAATTCGAAAAGTTTCGAACTTTCGAATTCTGAAATGTCAGAAGTTCGACGAACTTCGAACTTTTAGGGTAAAAGTTCGACGTTCGTCGAACTTCGAAAGACCGGCGGACGGTTTCATTTGATTTCAAGTAGTGGGGTACATTCGTAATTTTTTTTTCTCGAACTTTTACACGCGGTGCTGCGTTTCTTTCGAAAGACAATGTCGTTTATTTCAATGTTCTGGCATGCTTAGGTTTAAAGAAATAAATCCCCGAAGGGGCGAGGAAGGACGACGGGTTTTTGACGATTATCGTTTGTGCCAGATTTGAAGCGCGCTCTAGCCGGAGCTATTTATGGTATACTTTTTTAAGAATGATCTATGTATAGCCTAGGTAAGTGCCGTCTTAAGATGTGATTATTGTTATTCAACGTGAGTTTCGGAGAAATATCCAAACATGTATCTGCATGCAATTATGACCTAAACTTGATATTTATTTTCGTCTAAGTTGTTTGAGGTATCGTATTGAAATTAACACCACAGACAGGTCATATCTAATAGTGTTTAAGTTCAGCACGTCATTAAAAGAAAACTTTTTTTTTTCCGCTTCACGTTGCTGGGACGTGTTTCTTTTAGCCTGTACACAATTTGGTAAAAGAAACTTGTTTCGAAGTTCTGAACCTCTGAATACGCAAGAATAGAACACTTCCGACGAATTCTTGATAGTTTTTTTTGTTTTTCTCCCGCTTTTTATTCCCGCGTTTATTCTTTTTTTTTTTTTTTTTTACTATTGGCACAGGTATTTAGGTTGAAAAGACAGCTTTGAACTTCCGAACCACTAAGCATGTGACGAGTAGCACCTTCTGACAACGAGTTTCTAACAATGACCATCTACGCAACCTTTTATGCAGTGAAGAGCGACTGTAGCTACACATATGCATAAATAATTTCAGATTAAAATAAGCTCGACCACGCCCTCTTTCCCCGTATTGTTTTCTTTAACAGTCCGAAATACCTGAAAGGGGAAGAAGGAGGCTGAAGCCCCCCCCCCCCCCCCCTCCCCCTCCCCCCGCTACCCTCTTTCCCCCCGTTTTTCCTCTTCCGACGCCACTTGTATGCTAGAACGCTCCTCGACCTCGAGTTGTGTCAGCTTTTGTGCTTTTTGGGAGGCGATTCCTCCGTCCCAGAAAATAAACCTCCAGGACAATTATAAACTTTACCGGATCGGATTACTACCAGCGTGCAAGGGGTGGCGAGCTAGTTTGCCAGGTCGCTTCAAGGTTCTTCTGAGCCTCAACCTCCTGCTCGCCCCTGGCCGTTTCGAACTGGATGAGTCTCGTAAAACAGTGTGTTCGTGCAATCACTACTGCGTGATAAAGACCCCCCCCCCCCTTCCCCCCCGGGGCTGGCGGTCACAATTCTGCACTGACAAATATTCTAGCACGCCCGGGGCACTCGTCGTCTCATTTAATTGCCTGACCAACTTCGCAGAATCTAGATATCACACCCTAACTTTTCGAAACTTGATTTTGTGAAAACCAGTGAGTCGTGAAAACGTTATTTGAAACTGAAACTGTGGAAAAACTTGAAAATCGGACTTCGAACTTTGAAAACTTGGATTAAAAAAAAAAAATCAAAATCTTCGAAGTTTTCTTTTTTTTTTTTTAGTTTAGCGTTAAAAGAGAATCGAAACCTTCGAACTTTTCGAACTTTATGCGGAAAGAAATTCGAAATCTTCGAATTGTTCGAACTTCATGTCTATAAAAATTCGAAGCGTTCGAAGTTTTCGAATTTTTTTCCAAAGAATTTTGAAATCTTCAAATTTATCGAACCTGAAGTAAAAAAATATTCGAATATTCGAATTCGAAATTTTAGAAACCGTGAAAGCTTCGAAATTTTGGAGTTCGAAACTCCGCTGTGGTCAAAAGTTGCGAATTTTTCGAATTCGAAGCTCGGTCGGTACGAAAATATCGAAATATTTCGAAATCGAACCTCAGTTCGCTTCGCAAATATCGAAACCTTTCGAAATCGAACCTAGGGTGGTTCGCGACATCCCTAATAATGTTACATCAACGTTGACACAATGTCCCATTTAACAACTTTAAAACGTCGAGTACACGTCTAAACTGAACGAGACTGTTAATATGACGTTGATAACGTCATATTAACAATAACATAACGTCCCATTTAACGACATAAAACGTCGAGCGCACGTCTGTAATAACGTTATATCAACGCTGACTCAGTCCCATTTAACGATCATAAAACTATGCTGCCTGGAGCGCGTCTCCGACTGGTGTGTTTAGCGTCCTATCCCGCTCATACATCAAATGTGGTCCCGGAGTGGCAACAAATGACGTCGCAGAAGCCGTAGTGTCAAGCTGTAGCCTGTCGCGATCCTAGCGGTTGGTCGTAGAAATGCTGGCGATAAGTACGAGCGAACGCGAGTGTCGCTGTCGTCACGGTGTCCCAACTTCCTGCTGCTGTAGCTTCCGTGGACTGTCGAAGTGAAGAGCGACCTGCAGCAGAACAAGCGTCTGCCACAACCACCACAGCTGCTGGGACACCGCCAGGGTCGCGACCGGCGATAGCGTGACACTTCTATGACGTCATCAGGCGAAAATCGAGGTACCACTTTTTTGAACGCGGTAAACACACCAGTCGGAGACGCGTTCCAGGCACCATAATAAAACGTTGAGCATAGGTCACCGTGGAACAATGGAGTCAACCGTATCTGGCTTCGTTGCTAGGTGTGTTCGCGAAAGCGTGTGTTTTCGGACGGAACAGACCATTTGCTAATTCCCCCAAGCACCCCGGCCCGCACTCCAGGAATCATGGGAACGGTGTTCCTTCAGCTCCCTAGTGATCACTAATTCCGACTACTCCCATGGTTACACAGTTTCAGGTGTAATTCGGAGTCACCCTAAACATCGTCCTATAGGTGCCTTCATGTGCGCTTTGCATAGGATGATAACACTCTTCGTAGTGCTCGATGGCGACAGCACGCGCTCTTCACAAAAATACAAAGAAATAGCCGGTCACAAAATGCACTGTCAATGCTAAGAGCGCGTGCCGGGAGGCGCGCTTGCTCGCGCTCAGGAACAAAAAAAAGACAAAAGCGTCCGTAACAAAATGGTCAAATGTCACCACACTAAGGAAAGCGCACATGAAGTCACAATAGGAGCAACGTGCCCGGAAATAAACATTCTTCGTTGCTACCTGAGTGTGTGGGTATCCGTGAACGTCCGCCTTGTTTTTATTCTCTCACTTTCAAGTATTTATAATTAAAACACGCTTGCTTTAACCAGACTGTTATGTTTAAGTGTGCTTTCTTGTCTCCTTGTTTTTCCCCTAATTTTATAACAAAGAAAGTGAATTTTATGTACCTTTTCATTTAATGCCTCATAGAGACCCTTAACGTAAAGGAATACTGAACCGAAATTCGGATTTTGTAAAATAAGGTGGCAGAAAGCGTTGAACGGGACGCTACGAACCCCAAAACATCGCTCGCACATCGATATCTCAAACGGATGGCCGTACTTTAGGAAAAAAAGAGCGCGATCAGGCGAGGTCTTTCACGTCATTGTCCTCCGGGAGAATTTGAGAATGAGTGGAAGCGGCCTTGTTTCTTTCCTCCTCGCTTCGGTTCACCAGCTCGACGGGACGTAGCGAGGAGGAGAGGGAATGGGAATCGTGACGTCGCATGCCTCGTTGGCCGTATTCAATCGCGCACTTATTTTCCAAAATACGACGATCCGTTCGAGATATCGCTGTATGTGTGATGTTTTGGTGTTTTACAGCGTCCCGCCTATCCGTCCAGCCTTGTTTTGTGAGCTCGAAATTTCGGTTCAGTTACCCTTTAACGTAATACTATGAAATGAAAAGGAAATTAAAAATTAGGACAGAATCGAATGTTGTACTGCCAGTGACGTCACTGCTCACCGAACTCGAAAGACTGTACGGACCCCGACCTTCAATTTGTTTCATTTTGGTTTTATAAAAGCTGGCGCTTGCAAGACAATAGGGTTTTCTACAGACGAACTCTCGCAACCAATTGGCCACAATCTGAAAATCGTAGGACATCCTCTTTCATATTCGCAGCTTACGAAACGCAGTCACTGCATTCGCCTTTAGCACACTTCTTTTCTTTCTCGTAACTGTTCATGTACCTTGGTCTACGCGCGCAACTTATAGCGTTGCGTATTGGCATAAGCGATAGCAACAAAGAATCGGTAGTTTGAAAGCCCGTTACAATTTATTACGTTCCTCGCCAACATGCCTCGTTTAAAACAATAAAAAAAAAAAAATTGTTTTTGTTTAAGCTGTTCCGCAGCCTAGTTCTCCCTGGGGCGTATAAAATAAATGCTTAAAATGCTTTCCTTTCGTCGAAACACATGCCACGATTCGTTCCGGCATGGAATGCACCACCCACTTCAGGGCCTGCGGATGAATGCTAGTTAGCACATACGCCGATTCGTTGTCTGCGAGGTCTTGAGGCTCAGTCGCGTAGACTTTACTCTTAATGTGACCTAAAAGAAAACAACCCAAAAGAGTCAAGTCAGGTGATCTGGGGGGCTGAAACATAGGCCTTCCGCGCACTATCCACCAATGACAGTAATGATCTCCAAGCCAGCTTCTTGCTCGTGAAGAAAAGTGCGCTGTAGCTCCATCAAGCTGGAACAGCATACCTCGTATAGGGTTTTCAGTTAGACGTCACACGCAAGATCACTAACAACACCGAACGTCGGCTATGTAGCACGCTGCTGACAGAGAGCCCAAAGCAAGATACGGCCGACAATCCTGTCGCAGAAACTGCCGCGCCATACGTTCACTGACCACCGAACTTGATGGTTATGCTGCAGGAGCCAGTGAGGGTTCACGTGAGAGCGTTGTGGAACTTGACGTTGCCATCCCTACAGAAATAAAATATATAAAAAAAATAGCTGTGTGTATTTTATACAGCCAGATGTTAGTCTGCCTCGGTAGGCGTCTGGTGTCTCAGCTGTAGATGAGCAATTTAGCCAGTGCAGTACAACCACCAGCCTGGGGTCTCTAACGTGCACCACGCAGTAGTGATACACGACCGCACGCCGGTACGATGCTGATCCAGGTCGAAACGGGCAGGGGTGGATATTGAAGGCAGAATCCCTGGCTTCTGTAGCGCGGGCTTTCGCTCCACGTGCTCCGAGCTGGTGTGCGCTGGCCCACTCAGCCACCGAGTGGGCTAGAGCCTCGTCAGTTTAAGTACTTTCTTGCAAAAATCAGTTTTCCTCAAAGTCAGCTTCGCTCAGGTCAGGATGAAGACACACGTGGTTGGGATGAATCATTGACTAGCACGTAGGCCCAGACCCTCCACCAGGGCTGGATTAAGAGTCGGGAGGGACTGGTTGAACAAAATATAGGGGCCCCCATTATTTTGGGAATTGACATATTTTGGCATTCACTCGCGAGGATGGATAACAACCTTTCATGGTGCTGAATTATTTTATCTACATATGTTTCAGAATAGGGCGCTATGGTTTCAGCTAGATACGAACTATATTTTTATGTCAAATTATCGTATCGAATCTACAAAAAGTTATATGATTTTTCGCTTTTCATGTGGGGAGCAAACCCAACCGGAGAGGCCCTCAATTTAGGTTCTAAATATAGCCAGCACAAAAGGCTAGATCTTTATTTACAGCTAAATTAGAAAAGAAAGTGCAGCTACCCAATACACAACCTTTCACGCGGCACTCGCATTCAATCAGCACCCGTGCCGGCCTCCCGGAGGTGACGTCATCTGACGTAACGCGCAGGCTTCAAAGCTGTCTACGAGTTTCTGGTTTAACGAGCCCCCCAGCCCCCCTGTGAAAAACGCGTCGTCCGAATCCGAAATCCAAGTTTCCGCGCGTTGGCGAGCAGCCAATCCAGTGGAAGCACCGTTGCTAGGGTGTCCTCCTCTCCTTTTTTTTTTTTTTTTTTCCTCGCCGCGTTGGGCGTCCAGGCAATCGGAAATACGCGGCCAGTTTGGCGCAGCAATTTCAGCGTCAGGTCTGCAAGCTGTTCGAATACGCACACGCGTCTTCTTATGTTTCTGTCCCGTGTCCCAAATAGCGGCCAGGCTCTTCAAATCGACCGCAAAAATCGGTTTCTTAACCTATCGCGTTGCGATTTTCTACAGCGTTAGCCACATGTGGTGCATTTTTTTTTCTATAAAATTCACAAAAAGCGAACTTACTTGAGGAAAAAGTAAAGAAAGAAAAAGGTTTAACTCCTATGAAAACGCAGCGAAGCCACCTGTCTTCAAACCATAGGGCGCCCCAATGCCGTACAAAATCGTAACGCGATAGGTTAAGAAACCGATTTTTGCGGTCGATTTAAAGAGCCTGGCCGCTATTTGGGGCACGCGGTAGGTTATTTTCGAATTCGTCGGTGCTACAAGCGGACGAAGGGCTTGTAAGTGAGCAGTCACTATTCTTTATCGACTCTTGAAAGCCATGGTCAGAGAGATTAGACCTATGCCGCTTATTCTTCGTCTATTTCCGCTTGTGCGAGTACGCTATTTTCCTGAGTACTGACGCATGAAAAACGTGTGTGCTAAAGTCGAATGTAGTAACTGTGCATTTCGTGAGCTGCGAATATGAGATCGCTGTCGGGCGCAATATAGATACAAGGTCACTGCAAGGCACGCGTCATGAATATGACACACAATACGTGTTCGTGACCAGAGATGGCAGTAATGAAATTACTGTAATAAAATTACAGTAATTAAGTTACTCTTTCTGGTAATGAGTAATGTAATTAGTTTCCTAGGCTAGTAATTTAGTAATGTAATGAATTACTTTCAGGCAGTAATTTAAAAAAAAATGGCTCATTACTTTCGAAATTACTTTTGTCCCAAATGAGACAGCTCGTTTGCGAGCTTTAAGACAAAAAGAGAAAATTATTTTGCACGGTGAAATGTCGTGGCAGAGACATCAGAGCAAATAAACGACGGCCATCTGAATGCAAAACCTCGTACGGGGAACGCGACAGGCGGGCTTGAAAGGCGACGGGGATGGAGAAAAGCTTTCGTATAAAAACATCGCTGGAAGGCCACGGCTCACAAACGCCAGGCAAGGAAGATTCACGGCGTCAGGTCATCCCGACGGTACTATACTTTGTTCATTCTTAAGGTGAGAAGTTTTGTGGGAGCAACGAGCTCACCGGAACCAATCAACCACCTTCCTATCATCACCTGACCCCTTCTCTGCCTGTGGGTATGAGCGAGAGAGCAAGTTACGCGGCGAAAGACAAACGTGTGACTGGTCCAACGAGCACGTAGCTTCCACCGTGCTCTCAGCAAAACGGCCTATGCTTGGTTCAGACGTTTACGTCGGTTGCGTCCACTGCAACCAAAACGACCACAACGACCTATTCACCGGTACAACTCTAACTCACGATTACTTTTCGACTGTGCTACTTGTATTGCTTGCCACATTGTGTACGACAAACTGTTTTCCTGGTGACTTTGTCATTGCTGTCGTTCCACTTGCTGCGAACGCAACCGTCGCCTCGAGATCGACCTGGAGGTGGCGCTACTGTCGCGCTATCATCATCATCGAAGCGGGGATAGAAGCATGGGCGCCCCGTAGGTAATGCACGTTCGCGCGCGAGACGGTATAGATCAGTGGCACCTAACCAGTGGTCTCAAACTCATCTGAGTGTGGGTTCCAGCTAGCTCACACCGTAAAGGTTGAGGGCCAACGTAAGGCCGGGGAGAGGGGGAGAGGGTTCAAAAGGTTTTAAAGAGAAGAGACCTCGTGCTCTATGCTTTTTGTAAACTCACAGTTTTGCCAGTGACATCTTTAGATTTGATTTGTTTATATGACTTTGGGCCCTGACTAGATGTGATAAAAAGAATTAAAATGTCACTGCCCCGCCAACGTGCTGGCATTTTTAATAGAGCAAGAGAACAAGCATACTGTCGTTCTCGTTGCTCAGTTCACTCAAGAATTGACCAAGCTCCAAATGTCTCTAAAAAACAATCGGTTAATTTGGCAGTTCTTGCTTTCCTGACAATTTTTATTACAACACTCTGAACAAATACTTGCCTTTTAATCGTGATATTTTTTTTTTAAGGTGAAAATCCCGAGCTCGTAGCTTTATCTTTGCAGTTGCTCCTGCTGATCGAGAGTTCCCTCAGCCGAGAAGCATCCTTCAACAAATAGCTCGCGCTTGCAGCCCAGTAGCAGAATTGTTACACATTACAAAAAGCTGGGAAGCAAAAAATAAAGCGAAACAAAAGGCAAATTAACAGATAAGTGTAAACTATGTGAATACGTTAAAAGAGCAGAGCTACTTTTGGAGTGAAAATAAATCGACGCGATGAGGTCATTATGGCGCATGCCATTTCTAGCGCTCGAGATTTACTTGAGACATGAGAACCGGGGCTCATAGCTGGTTGCCTGCGGGCCGCGTCCCGGCGAGGCGCGGGCCGCATGCGGCCCGCGTGTTTGCGACTTTTGGTGTAGATTCTTGTGTTTATTTTGTCGCATCATGGTCGCATAGTATCGGTGGGAAAACAATTTTAGCGGAAAATGGTGCGGTGGTGCTTCAGTGAAGAATGAATCGTGTTACCGTACGGCCTAAATTTAAATTATCGCTTATCTAGATGCGTTTGGAAGCATGGATCACTACTACTTATGTCGAATATTTGTTTCTTTTAAAATAGATGTATCGGTTCACCATCGTGGAAATTCCACAAAACAAGGAATTCCAACCCGGATACTTACATAATACTGGTACTGTGGGTTGTGAAATCGCAGGTTCTATGCACTTTTGTTTTTTGCGTAACTTTTAGTTTTCGCAGTACTACAGATATTTCACATTGAGAGAAGTTAGTGCGATACTGGAAATTACCGTGCTATTGCTAGCTTCTACAAGTAAGAAAATTCCGCTGCAGCCAATGTTTCCCTTTGCTGTGCCATTGTGTGCGTAAGTTTTTCGGAGTCTGAACAAGGCTGAAACTTAGCTAGTTGGTTCATGACGCTTACGAAAATGGCCTGCTGAACGGAGATAAACCTACACACTACGAAAAAACGATAGTAGCTTCTAGTTCTGTTCGTTGTTCATACTGTTCGTTGGCAGGGCAACTGAGGCAAATGAAACAAACTGTTCTATTATATCTGCCGCGAGTGGAAT